AAGAAAGGAAATTTATCCTGTGATTTTGGAGGCCAGAACTTCAAGATATTAAAAAGTTGGTGTTTTACCAGGAGATTATGAGAGAAATCCATTTCCTGATTCTTTGCTAGCTTGAGGTGCCTGCCACAGGTACTTGACATTCTTAGACTTGTGGACACAGGACTCCAATCTCTAGCCTTATCTCCTCTGTGTGTCTCAGTGCCTTTTCTCTTTTTGAGGAGAAATGCCATTGTACTCAGGGCTTACTTTCAGTACAGGGTGATATTGTCTTGAGGTCCTAACTTTATTCATGCACTAAGACCTTCTTTCCAAATCTGATTACATGCACAGGTTCTGCATTTATGTATCTTTCAGGGGGGCAGCCAATCGCCCCATTATATGTTTTCTGGTGAGGACTAAATTCAGTAGGTAAAAGACATATGAGTGGCCGGGTGGTGGTGGCACACGCCTTTAATCCCAGCACTCGGGAGGCAGAGGCAGGCGGATCTCTGTGAGTTCGAGGCCGGGCTGGACTGATAGCCTCCAAAACAATACAGAGAAACCCTGTCTCGTAAAAACAAACAAACAAAAAAACAAACAAAAAGACTTATGAGTAAGGCTGTGATCACATTAAGAATGTGGAAAACAATACTAGTTGACAGAGAATGCACAGGTGATGGAGAATTGGCTTATAGTTATTTCTGAGCTAAACTGTATAGAATGAAGTGATTGAGGTAGAATCAGGGTGACCTTGATACATTTGGGTTGTCTATGACATTTAGGAGCAAATATCTTGCAGCAGTTGGAAATAGGGGTCTGGGATTCAGTAGAGAGCTTGTGTGGTCAACTGTTGGATGAGTGGCTCCCAGAAAAGTGAGCCTGTGAGTACACATACTATTGCCTCTGTCTTAGCTAACTGGTCTGAGCTATATAATCTTTGAGTTATATCGCTCCCATTGGGAATTCAGCTGCTGTATGGTACCAGTATTGAAATTATCCCACTTAGAGGGAGTCATGTGAAGAAGACCTGATGGATGAGCACTTTGTGGAAATAAAAGCCAGCTGAATGCAGCCACATGAGTGTTTCCAACTGTTGCTAAGAGGACCCAATGAACCAAGGATTAACCGACACATCTCTAAGAAGTAGAAAAACCACCATATTAAGCAAATACTTCTGAGGTGGTTTTGTTGCGCTTTAGCCCCTGTCCATGTTTCATGATCCCAAGGGCTATGGAATAAAAGTCAGTGATGTCTGCCTCAGAGGATGAAACAGTTATGGACAAGCTTAGGAGACAGGAGTTCACTGAGATTCAAGAAATTGGTACCAGGTTATGGGATGCTTGAAATAGCATGTGCTTTCAGGTATGATAGTCCCTATGGGAGTCTAGTGGCTACACAAAGTCTTTATGGTATCATATCTACTTTCACAGTGTCATACCTCTTTGGTGTAATTGTTCATATTCATGGGGGTATTGTGTAGCCAGCAACTGATGTTGTGAGTGTATTCTAATAGCATTGATGGAATTAGCAGATGATCAGAAGAGGGCAGAATTACACAGGAAATTATTCAAGTTATTTCCTAAGGGTAAATGCAGTTGTGTTTTATTTCTTAATGGGACTTCTTCGAGGTTCCATGTAGGGCTCAGGACTTTCCTTTTTCTGCTCCAGACCTGATATAACTCCTGTTTTGTGTCCACTACTTTCTGCTTGGGCCAGATGATCTTTCAGGTTCCATTAACAGGCTCTATCTTACAGTTAGGTCTGGTCACTGATAAGAGGGAGGGGCAAAAATGAACTTAGGCTTTTTTTTCTTGATATCCCTCCTTTGAGGCAGGGTTGAACTATCAATGTCTTATGATAGCTGTCACTGTACACTTCAAGGTAGTGATCACTCCTGGGTCCTGGTAACCTTTTTTTCTGTCCTAAGATCAGAGTGGTGACTTGTCTATTGTGTCTTAGGTTCCTTCACTATCCCTGGAACTTCTCTATAATCTGTCTTTCAAATTAGTCTTTGTAATTTAGTCCTCTGAGGATTATTTTGATTTGAGTGGGTTCTCTCTGCTGCTGGGACTGAGTTTGTGAAGACAGAATGATGCTTGAACCACACCAATACCCAGCTTATTATGCAGCCTTCTGTCACTGTTCTCAAGCCTTCCAGCTTTCTACCTCAACAACCAACACTTCAGTGTTACCGTGACTTCATGTGCCAAGCAGGGAACACAGACACAGCCAATTCAAAACAAAACCGGAAGCACCAAATTCACCCACCCCCCTCCGGATCTCTTTTATTGCTTTTTTTACTCTTATCAGTTTTCTCAGCACCCCTTTCTTGTTTTGCAAAATGAGATCCAAGAGCAAAATCAGAGGCTTTAGATTCAGTTTGCAAGACGAACAGAGTGGTTGGGATCAGCAGTGGTGGCTGTGCAATACTGTGAATATAATTAGTGCCACCGAATTGGTTTAAAAAAATGGCTACGGTGATCAAGACACATGAGTCTTACCACAATGGAAAAATACATACATATATAACAAAATCAGAGTTTTAATCTCCATCTTTTGTCTGAGACTGGCCAGTGATAAAACTGCATTTATAATGAGTATGTCAAGAAGGCTATTTATTAAGCTTCTGCCTTAGGCAGCCTGGGGCTGGTCTGTGCTCCCTTCTCTGAAGATGCTTGGGGCCTTTCTTGCCTTCATGTACAGTAGTACTATTGTAGTATGGCCAGGAGTATGTTAGTAAATGGGTTTTAGGTAGGTAAAATTTTTATAGAGGTACAATTCACTCTTTTAAAGTGTATAATACATCCCAGCCTTGGAGAGGGGGATGGTACAAGCCTGTAATTCCAGATACTTGGGAGGCTGCAGTGGGAGGACTGTAATGTTTAAGTTTGCCTGGGGCACAGGGTGACCTCGAGGCCAACCTGGGGAAATTAGTGAGACCCTATCTGAAAAGAAAAAAAATGACAAGGGGTATAGCTCAGAGTTAGAATGCTAGCCTGGTGTATGTTCGGTCCTGGGTTAAATCCTCAGCATCACACAATAGTAATAATGAATAAATAACAGTAAGGTCCAGGGTACAGATTACACACAATCAATGTTAAAACATTCTTGTGACCTGACCCCCCAAAACAAACAAACACCCAAAAAGACCCCACACTTAGTTGCAGGCATTCTTCTTCCTTTCCATTCAGAAATTAGTTCATTTTCTGTCTCCAATGGAGTTTCCTATTCTGAACTTTTGATATAAACGACATCATACAAATGTGACCCTTTGTGGGTGACTATTTTGACTTTGAATGATTTTTTTAATGTTGTATATGTATTAGTACCTCATCCCTTTTGTGGCAGAGTAATATTTCATTATATGACTATAGCACACTTTATTTACCTATTAATTAGTTGATGGGCACATGAATTGTTTTCATCCAATACTAGTAACTACTAAACAACCAATAATCTGAAAAAAAATCCTGGGGGTGGGGAAATGGCTCCACACGTAAAGCACTTAACACCCAAGCCTGGTGAACCCAGTCTGGATCCCCAAGTGCCATGCAAAAGTTGGTTGCAATAGCATAAGCATCTATAATCCCAGTGGCCAATGGGGAACGGGAGGTAGAGGCAGGACTCTCCAGAAGCTTGTAGCCCAACTAGCTTGTTGTTCACAGCAGTAAAGAGAGCCTATCTCAAACAAGATGGAGAGACAAGACCCCTGCATCCAAAGGATGTCCTCTGACCTCCACATGTGCCATGGCACCCACACCCACATATCTCACACACTCAAGCACACACATGCATGCATGCACTCTCTCTCTCTCTCACACATACATGCACACATACACACACACACAGAGAGAGAGAGAGAGAGAGAGAGAGAGAGAGAGAGAGGAAGAGAGAGACAGAGACAGAGACAGAGACAGAGACCAACTGACTCATGAACACTCACAAATCCAGACTTGGAATATTTGTAGACTTCCATGGCACATACATTTCCATCATGACTGACTGCATGATGAAACTGGACTAACTACCAGTATCCTGCTTCTGGCTCTCTGCCTGTAGCTGGTCTCCATGCTGTTTCACAAATACTCCAGCATGTTCCTCTCACAATGCTGAAGTGTGAGTCTTCCGCCTGGCCTGGTAGGTATGCTGTTATTCAATGCACCTCATTCTCATCAGGTTTCTGCTGAGCTGTCCCCTCCTCAGAAAGGCTGCCTTCCCACCTCTTCCCATTATCCAATCCTTTTCTAATCTTCAGTCTTCATGTCACCTCTCATAGACTTCCTGTTTCTCTGTGTGTTGACTTTGCTTTCCTTCACCCCATGAGTGCACTGAACACACAGTCTATGAATATGCTTGGCTTCACTGATTTCTAGCTTTTTATTTATTTTTTTCTTCAGAGACTTATTTATTTTTGTTTTATGTATATGAGTGTTTTGTTAGTGTGTATGTCTGTGTATCATGTGTGTGCCTGGAGCCTGTGGAGGGCACAAGAAGGCATTAGCTTCCCTGAAACTGGAGTTAAGGATGGTAGTGAGCTGCCATCGGGGTGCTGGGAACCAGGTTCCCTGCAAGAGCAACAATGCTCTTGACTGTTATGCCTTCTCTCCAGCCCCTTCTTTATATTATTATTATTATTATTATTAGACAAAGCATCTCTTGTAGCTCAGGCTGGTCTTGAACTTTTGATCCCGATACTTCCAATTCCCAAGTGCTAGGATTAAAATCCTGGGACTCCACACCTGCTTTACATGGTGTTTAGCATTGTACATGCTATTCAAGCTTTCAACCAACTGAGCTATAGCCTCAGCCCTGGATTATAACATCAAAAGAGTGAGTTGAAAGCAATGTGACTCACTCATCGATAAAGTTGCTATGAAACAACAGCCATCTCCTTCATCCTGCTGGTCACAGTGCAGCAGTGTTCTGAATGAGGCAAGGAAAGCCCCCAGGGCCTTTAAGTTCACACAGGCGTTCTGGCCTCAAGGCTATGTTGATTAAGCAGCGGCATTTGGAATTAAAAATTTGGAATGACATTTATTTATTCATTTATTTATTGTGGGGGGCAACACTGAGGTCAGAGGACAATTTGAGGGAGTCACTTCTCTTTCTACTGCATGCATCTCTGGATAGAACCTGGGTTGTCAGGCTTGGTAGAAAGCGTCTGTGAACAGCTGCTTCACTGGATGACTAGGAACTCTTGAGCAAGTGTTCTCTGCTCCTGGTGTTGTCAGATGAGTACTACGAGGACATTCTTCCTCATCTACCTTCTTTTTCCGCTCTAAATTCTGGCACAGATGTGGCTCACCTGGTACAGGTGGGAGGCAGTCCGGTGACCTGTCGGAGAGTGTGCCTCTCTCTAGAGCCAAGCAAGCGAGTATTCATGACGCTTGGTTGTGAGCCCTGGGTTAAGTCACTGCATTTTTCAGCATTTTCTATTTTTAGGATAATAAACTTCTGTGCCGTAGGCCTGTTGAGAGAATTTAATTCCTATGCTAATTTAAGGTTTAATATACTTTGATTACTCAGCTCTGATGTTCACCTGGACGTTAACCTAGGGCTGCCACCTGGAGTCTCCGAGAATCCCTGCTTGCCTTATTTGCTGCTCTGGCCTGTCTCTCTCACCTGCTGCGTTCTGGAAGAGCCTCCTGTCCTTCAAAGTACAGCTCCCCCTCCATCACCCAGAGAAGAGAGCGGGTGAGTATCCCCGAGTTTCGTTAAATTCAAGAATCTCTAACACAGGGAAAGAACTTCAAGGAAACTAGTTTGATTAATATTTACTGCACGTCCACAGAGTGCTGGGCAGTCCGAGGAACCGAGCAAACTAAAAGTACAGTCTCATACCAGAAAAACAAAACCCGGGTTGCCTCTGGGGACCCTCATTTCTTCGGAGTGCACACTGGGTTCTGATCCTCACGAATCATCAATATTTCTCAGTACTTGGACTACCTCTGGACTCCCCAGGGGCCTTCTGGAAAGCTGAAGAATTAGGGGCGGAGCAGGGCGGGCTGGGGAGGTGAGGCTGGAAGGGCGGCGCGCGGGCTGGGGGGGGGGGTCTAGGTGCGTTCCCCACTTGGCCGGCTCTGCGCAGAGACTCTTCCAGGAACCGCCTGGCACCCTGGGCCGTGGACTTTGACTGCTGTGAGTCCCGTCTGCTCCTCCCCCTCCTACCCCCAGCAGGCTCAGAGCCTCACTCCGGGGCGTGTCCTGCCTACCTCGGCTCACAGTGGTCCACTCTGCGGGCTCCAGCGGCGGAGGAGCGGCGGCTGCGGGAGCTGGAGCAGCGGTGCGAGCCACCCGGGAAGCAGCGGTGGCCGCGGACAGGCGCTCGCGGCCGGCACCTGTGTGGAGCAAGAGGAGCAGGGGTAGGGTGGGTGGCAGCGGCTCTGAGCCTCGGAAGGAGTGGGCACCTCCCAGCTGGGATCCTGCTGTTCTTATCAACCTCCTGCTGGCCCGCAGGGAGGTAGCACCGAGCTGGGGACACCTGTGTGGGCAAACATGTGCAGCAACAGCTAGAGGCCTTGGGACAGGTTAGCGTGTGTACGTCCAAGAGTAGAGAGACAGGCAAGGGGTGCCTTGGACCATGGCAGGCTCCAGCCTGGACTTCGGGGAGGTGGAAACTTTTCTGGATAGGCATCCAGAGTTGTTAGAAGATTATTTGATGCGGAAAGGGAAGCAGGAGCTGGTGGACAAGTTGCTACGAAGGCACAGTCCGGGACAGGGGGCTTCAGGCCTGAAGCCTGCCCAGACTGGCACTGGTAGCTTGGCTCAGAGTATTGGCAGAGGCAGTCCTGGGATAGGTGGTGGTGCTGGACCCCAGGGCTCTGCCAACAGCCATCCCACACCCGGTGGTGGGGAAAGTGCTGGGCTTCCCCTGAGTTCCAGCTGGGCTAGTGGCAGTCGGGGCGATGGGAACCTGCAGAGGAAAACTTCGCAGAAAGAGCTGCGGAAGAGCTTTGCCCGCTCCAAAGCCATCCATGTGAACAGGACCTACGATGAACAGGTGACCTCCCGGGCCCAGGAGCCCATGAGCAGTGTCCGGCGGAGGGCCTTGCTCAGGAAGGCCAGCTCTCTGCCCCCTACCACAGCCCACATTCTCAGTGCCCTGCTGGAATCGAGGGTGAATCTGCCTCAGTATCCCCCTACGGCCATCGACTACAAATGCCACCTCAAAAAGCATAATGAACGCCAGTTTTTCCTGGAACTGGTCAAGGACATCTCCAATGACCTTGACCTCACCAGCCTAAGCTACAAGATCCTCATCTTTGTCTGTCTCATGGTGGACGCTGACCGCTGCTCTCTCTTCTTAGTGGAGGGGGCAGCTGCTGGCAAGAAGAGTTTGGTCTCCAAATTTTTTGATGTGCATGCAGGGACCCCACTGCTCCCCTGCAGCAGCACAGAGAACTCAAATGAGGTGCAGGTCCCATGGGGAAAAGGCATCATTGGCTATGTCGGGGAACATGGAGAAACCGTCAACATTCCTGATGCCTATCAGGTAGGGCTCTGCTTGTCCTCTGTTCCCCAGCCCCCTGGATGGCAGCCATGCCTTCCCTCGTCCTTTGACAACCAGGCCCACTTTTATTTAGACTCTGCAATATAGTCTTGCTATTTAAGTTCCTACTTGAGATTCGTTAGAGTGTTACATCATCTTTGATGGAATGGTCTCTTCCTAACACAATGGCTTATGGGAAATCTGTGTCTCACTCATACCACCACATGTATCTCTGTCAAGGTGCTATCCTTAAGAACATGTCTTACGGTTTAAATGCATCTGTGAAATGCTAGAAAGAATTGTATCTTCTAGAATTTTTGGTGTTATCCTGAAGAAATTGAGTATTTTGTGTCTCTGGTGTTTGGTTGGGGGGGTGATGATTTTTCATACTCTATTTCAAGGTTGGAAGGTGAATGGAACACCTAACTACACACTCAATGCTTACCTTTTCTTTAGTAAGTTTGCATGAGTTCCAAGGTAGGAAAGATGCAGAAGAGGAGGAAAGATGGGAAGACTGAATCTCTGACCCATTCGGGTCTTCTTCATGTCCATTTCATGGGAGTTTAGACAGATCAGACTCTGAAAGGGACTAGTCATCTTCAAGCTTGGATATAGCAATCAGCTTTAGATACAGGGGAGCAAGCAGAGTTTTAGTTTGTAAAAATACCCCCATTGGTATATTTTTAGCAATTCCCAAGGCAGTAGGCACAGAGAACATGCTAGATTCAAGTAGAAAGGCAAGCCTGACATGCTGTTGTGTGGTTTTCCTGTCTTCTCATTTTTATAGTGATTTGAACTTGATAAGAGATGCTGGGTCTGAAAGACAGTTCTCATTCCTTCGGTCCCTGAGTGGTGGAGTTGGGTATCACTTTCTGGGAGACTTCCTCAGGGTTCCTAAGAATGGAAAGTTCTTACCCTTGATTCTATGGTCATTTCATGACTATATATTGTCTCATAAAGACATGTGTTTCTCTAGACTTTGGATGCTATTGAGCACAATAGCAAAAGTTGTGGGAAGGACATTTTTTGTAATTTTTCTCTGTGCCATCTGAAAGTTTATGATTTTGCATAGATCAACTGAAATGACCTAAACCCACGTCTCATATGTTTGTGATATGTCTGTTAGCATGACCTTTTAATATTGAGGGATGCCTGGGAAAATAATTTGTTTTGTTAATCTCTTGTTATTGAGTAGCTACATTATTCATTATATCCTTCTTAAAGACTTTGATAAGTTGAAGATCAACAACTAATTACAATTTTCAATAAATGTCAATTTCTCTATGGTCCTAGAAAGTCATGAGAAGAAATGAATTATTTAATAATTGTTATATTGAAGGGTCTATAAGATCACAAATTCCTTCCTACCCTTTCCATGTCTTTGTTGTGTGTGTGAGGTACAAAAGTCCCTCCTGAATTGGAGGATAGTTGCAGAACCTTAGACAGTAGTCTGTTTATTATTTGTATATTTCTTATTCTTCCTCAATTAATTTTCTCCTATTTTTATGGATTAAAATTTTTTCTCTTTCAGCTCATAACTTTCATTTGATATTGTTCATATCCAGCACTTTCTTCAAGACTATAGTCCCTGGTACCCTCAGCCTGTATTCTTGATGCCTAGAGTCGTGGCTATGGAGGTTATTACAGGCACAGCAAATCAGGTTTTCAGTGACTGTTGCTTCCTGTGAGCTCAGCCCTTACTCTGCAGACAGAGTGTGAAGAAAGTTGCCTTTTTGTATTTGGAAACTGATATGGGAGAAGGGAGATTTTTCTTTTTCCTTTCTTCCCAAGGCAGTGACAGTGGCTATAAATAAGACAAGCTTGTAGAATTGAGAAGGGAAGGTAGAAGGTGCTATAGGGAGCTTAAGATCTTTGGTCACTTTAGTTTCACTTGTTTGGGGTAAGAAATTTATTGTTATTATTATTGATTTATTTACCATTGGCTTTTGCTATGTACATGTGTATTTTCAGGTTGTTTGTATTTTCTTCCATTTAACTTACGATAATAGATGCTGGATCTCTCCAATGAAATTGCTTTTTAATACATTAATATCGTCACTAGTAGGACCTAAAGAGACTTAATCTCACTGTTTCCATTTCTCCACTCACAAACTGGGAATAATACACCTATCTGGCAAAGGTTATTATGTGGACATGAAATGAGATGCTACACCAAAGCTCTCAAGACAGTACCTGGCATATGGCAATTATTTAAGACATGGCAACAGTCTGTGGTGATGGTGGTGGTGGCATCTGGTTTGTCTGTATTCTTCTTGTTCTCTCCTTTTGAGTCTTCCTCTTATGTGAGACTCAGGTATGAACTCAGCACATTTGACCAGTTTAATTTTTCCCCGAACCATGATCCATCTTCAAAACAACTGTTTTCGAACCAACATAACATTCAATGAATATATAAATAGCTGTTCTTCTATTCTTAGGAGTCCCTCAAGCATCCTTGATGACACCTAATCATATCCTAGCCTAGTAAAAGCTCGGTGCTTTGTTCCTGTAGATAGGTTTTCCAGGGTTGCATTGCTGCTGCCTCCTTTGCCTGTTCTAGCATTTCCCCATCCCTTCTCTGCACTTACAGATTTCTCATAATGAACACCGAACCTTCCAAAGTCTATCTTTAATAAAAACTGCTTCATGTGTGGGGGTGTTCTGGTTGCATGTGTCTCTTCATTACATGCGTGCAGAACCCACAGAGGCCAGAATGGCACTGGACACACAGATGCTTGCAATCTGTCATATGGAGGTCAGAATTGAACCCTGGAAGATCAGTGTTCTGAACTGCTGAGCCATTTCTCCAGCCCCATATTTGCCTGTTAGTTATCATGCATTAATTCTTATGCATGTAAACTTCATGAAGTCTTTATGTAAAAATATAATCATTTTGATTCCTTATAAATCCATATAGTTAAAGGTGTGTCTTGCTTAGATTCAGTTAGCACCTTTTTTTCTCCAGAAGAATGAAATTTTGTCACGCAGAGTTTCAAATTTTTAATTATTGGGTAATTAAGTTAATGGTTTTAATCATCTGGGGGCTTCTTTGAGAAGAAAAAGGCATTAAAGACACATATGCAATTATGATAATGAATATGGCATCCTGAAGTCAAGGGTAGAATAGTTAATGAGATACTAAGGATAAATAGAAGTTTGGCAGCAAAAATAAATCTCCTTTGCTTTCACTAGTTTGCATTGCATTTCTTAATTGCTCCTAGAAAACAGGATTGAAATTAGGAAAAAAATAAAGAATTGCAAGTGGAAAAATGCATTCCTTTTAAGTATCCAGTTTGAGCATAGTGACTGTAATTTACCTTTCTTCTCTGACAGTTATAAGTTATTAAACAACCCACTTTAATATAGTAATGAATAAATTGCCCTCAAGAGGTTGCAAATAAGAACACTTAAGTAACAGGTGTTCTCTTTGAGATTATTCCAAACACCCAGAATATAGCACTTTAGACATTAATAAAAGTGCGAGATGAGTCTGTGTTAGTGTTGATAATGACGATACAGGTGTTTGATGGGTTTGGGTCTGGAAAGCAGCAGGCTGTTTTGTTAGGTGAATTGAGAGGAGGAAGGGATGACGCAGGACAGTTCCAGGTGTGCTAGGCTTTCAGAAGACCTGCTCCGTTTACACAACAGTCAGTAATCATCAGATCCCACAGGCAAGTACAGACAGCCCCTTATACCTGTGGGTATACAAAGGTGAGAAGGCACACTTCCTGTCTCCCAAGCTCTCCAAGTTGCCATCTCTGCCACGTTAGGCTCAAATGGCAAAGCTGGATGGCAACCCCTTCAGAGTCACTACAGAGCCCAGCTTGTTGTGGAAGACTCCCGAAGGAGGCACCATGCCAGCTGTTAACAAGGTCAGGCTTCCTGACTGGAGATGACGTTGAGGCTTGTGGAAGTGTTTTAGGCACTAACTACGAAACTGCTTCAGAAGAGGAAGCACAGAATGTATATAGGTGACAAGGAGTGTTACAACTCAGCTAAAAGACTATATACAGTTCAGGCGTGCAAATGTGATTTAGAACATGTGAAGGACCTTGAACCTCTGATAAAAGAATTTGCTGACAAGAGACCACAAGAAGCTCCTTGGCATGATCGAAGCGGCACAGTGAGGAGCCGGGTGGCGGTGACTGAAAGGATTGAACAGAGGAAGACTAGAAGCTGCGAGGATGATTAGGAGTAGATCATGATGGGCTGTTGGAGTCGTAATGAACAACTGAAGTGAAGTAGAGACGGGGCGCGGTGGGGGGGGGCGATTGGCAGCAGGGAGCAGATGGGAGGATGTGTCCTGTAGGGGAGAATCTGGGTGAGGCTGAGATTAAATCAATGGTGATTTGGAGATTCTAAGCTTGAGAGATACGGAGAGAGGCAACAGCTTTATCGGAACAAGGCAATGCGATGGCTCATGCCTGCAACCCCAGCCTTCTGAGCAGACGGTCAGGACAACAGGTCTAAGTCTGCGGCTACATGGTGCCTTTGAGGCCAGCTTAGGCTACAGAGTGGGGCAGTTTCTTAAAACAAAACAATGCAGGTAAACAGATAAAACCCCAACCGGAGAGAGAGGAACCAGGTTAACAAGGAAAGCTCTGTGTAGGACCAGCTATGTCATTAGTGGAGTTTTGTGTAAAGCGATGGCACTAAGACATCAGCCTCCCATCCAAACCACAGCCACTTCCTGAAAGAAATCCTAAATGACTGCAATTTCCAGGCTGAGAAGTTCTTGCATCTGGCTTGGGGTGGGTTGGAGGCCCCCAATGAATTGCCTGCTGAAAGCTCCCTGATGCCTCCAGCTCAGGGTGGGGATGATCACAACCTTGTTCCACCCCGAGCTGGCATAGGCCACACAGTTGCTCTTATGCTTCCATACAGACTCTACTCGGGAGCAAACAGCTGCAGCAGATGTGACATTCAGGCTTCTTCCCCTATGTATAGCCGGGTTGCTGTGTCTAGAGCAAATGGGAGAGGAGGGAGTCTGGATGGGACATGGG